TTACAAGTAAAACCAATATTTGGCACTGATGCAATTACCAAATTTATTTTGTATGTTCTTAGTGGACTGTACAGAGGGTAAATTTAAATGACAACAGCTAGAAAGAAGGTTAACTAAAGATATTTATTTCTATGCTTATAAGTAAATAATTTTTTTTTTGAATGACAACAACTAGGTAAATAACTACATTTAGGACAACAAAGTTACTTTATGATTACAAGTGAATTGGTTGATTTTGTACACTAGAAAACAATATGCATTTTCAAAATGATTATTAAACTTGACACGGCACCGCCTTTTGCTCTAGTTTGGCGCTCACCCGTGTCTCTCTCGATATCAGCCGTCCAGCTATTAATATGACAATCGGTTTTCTCCCCGCCCTTGACACCGAGATAAGGCCGCCGCCGAATATGGATGACTGATATTGCGGTCAATTCCGTTTTCGACGTACACCGTAACTGGTTAGAGTTTTGTAGTGTACCTTTTCTCAGTTTTAAGTTTGTGTTCGGGTGCTACTTGGAAAAATCACATTTTACCTGTGCCTTTATATAACTGTGGTAATTCTTTAAAATAAAACAAAACAACCGATTACGACTATCATAATTGACTCGCGTAATATTGAGCTACTTTGTTCGCATTGTTACGAGTGGTTTTCTTCTCTTTATAGTTATTGTAAAACTATACTTATAATTATATATATAGTGCTAGTGCGTGCTATTGGATACGCGTTAAACTATTGTTTTAAACTAGTCATACAATCAGAAAGCAAGTATATTAAATAGACTTATAAAACTAGTAACAAATTACAAACTGATATTGAGTTCACAAGCAACATGTATAAGTAAATTTGACAATACATTAAATATACTTAACATGCTTAAATGTGTGCATTACAACTAAAATTTTTAATATAATGTTCCAAAATTAATGAATTGTCAACTCAAAGAATTAATACTTATTTGATTGTAAGGTGTAATGGAGTATGTCATATAAGGAACTATAGTGAGATCAATAACTAATATTCAATTTTGTGAGGTTTAATGTGAATGTTTAAATTGAGAAACTATATAGTTTCTGAGAAAACAAAATAAATTTAAGTTGAGGGATTACAAATGTGAGTATAGACAAAAATTGTGAACAAAAAATTAAATATTAGCGACTGATCGACAAATGGATTTTAATAATTATAGGTAGTTTTATATAACGTATTATCAATGAGTAAAATAATTTTGAGATTCAACTGGAACAAGTTTACCACCCACCTCCAAGAAGTATTAGAACTCTAGTAAATGATTTCAACAATAATTTAAGATTTTGACTTGACTATTTAATGTATTATTACAATATATATTCGATATGACAACAACAAATGTGTAATAATTAACTTATATTACCAATAGACCAATATTTAATAAGAAATTTGAAATCAACCACGAGGTTTCTAAAACTTGATTTAAGAATTTAAGTTAGGAAATAGTTGTAAGCAAAGTTTTCTACAAATTACAATATTATTGTGAATTACCGTTACAAAATTGCCAACAATATGACAGCGAGAGCGTTGACTAATAATAATTGACAATTATTTTAGTTAAAAATAGTGGCGACTAGGCACAAGTATCGAAAATAAAACAACATCAACTGGACAGCTTGGCAATCTAAAACAGAATGTGAGAGTAGATTTTTAAGCGCATAACCGCTACTCCGACCGACTAATTAGACCAGTGATAAAAGAAGCGGCGGGTGACCAATCAGTGTGACCACAATTTAAAGATAGACTTTGCTAAGCGCAAACAGTCATTTTATGTAAAAAAAATTGAAAAAATGTCAAAAATTAGCGATTTTTAAATTTGTAATTTATTGCGGGTTTCCCCCGTTTACGGGAAACGTGCGAATTTTTTTCAATTTTTGAGGGTAATGTCTTCGACTAGATAGTTTTGGGATCTTTTGACGTATTGTTCATCAAACTCGGTCAAACAAGAGCTGAGATTGATAAAATTAATAGCAGATGGTATAGGTATGAGGTATGTATATTAAAATATAAAGAGGGTAAAAATGGTGGGTATCTCGTGGTAGGACTGTATTTAGTTATGAAATAGTAAAATATTATGAAGTAAAGCATGCAAATAAATATTTGCACTTTAGTTTTAGTTTTAGTTATTATTGAGGTGGACATAATGCCCATGCACTCAGACCTGTTGGTTCATTGTGCGCACCTCATACCGAATTGTCTTGATTCGGTTTACCCACCTAAGTGTTATCACCAAAGTGTTAATACATTATCAACCATAAAGTCACCTCTAAAGATGACCAAAGAGTCCTGTCTTTCTGGCGAAATTAAGTATCTCTCTGGGTTTTAGGTTTTTAATATCCTCTTTTTCAGGAAATGGTTTATTCAAGTAGTTTGATCTTAGTGTGGACAAGGCTCACATCCGCACATGATGTGAAATGAGTCTTCCTCTTCTACTCCACACTTCCTGCACAATGGTGATTCCGATACCTCCATTGCGTTAAAATATCTGCACTTACTTTTATTTCCTTTTGTAGTTGATAAGTTATTCTTATGGTCATTTCTTCCTTCAGTGATAACAATTGTTTATCGTGTCTTGCGTTTGTTTCGATTAATTAGTTTTTGTGTGCTTATTGGATTTAAGATTCTCTACAATGGGACCTGCGTCTATTATGATTTGTTACTTTTCTTTTTTATAATTTTTTAATCTCTTTATATTATACTATATTTTTACTAATAATATTTACGATGAATTCTGTATAATTGATATTGATATTCTTAAAATTTACTCTGAATTTTTCAAAATATAATTATAAGAATATATCTATCTATATTCAAAATTTAATTAACAAGACTGTGGTGGCCTAGTGTTTCTCAGCGTAAAGCCTTGGCTGGCGCGAACACAGTTAACCTCGTTAATATATATATATGAGGGTGTTTGAAATCTGTTAAGACACTCATTTTCTCAGAAAATATTGAGAATTTTAAATTTTATTATAGAGAAAATATATCAAGTTCAAAAAACTCTACAATAATATGTAGTCACACCATTATTTTTTTCGTCCCTTCAAGGATAAAAACCCTTATTTATAATTTTCTTAAATGGGAACCCTTGTTTTTAACTTTATAGTATGATAGAAAAAAAAATTACAAACAATTTTGTTCTTATATTTTTTTTTATTCGATTAACCATTTGTTCGTTACAGCTTGTTAAAGTTAAGTGATTTTAGGTCAAATTTAACCCAACCGGGTTTTCGGTGTATTATTAATAGCTAAGTCTATGGATTTGTAAGACTAAAGGATCTAACAAAAATACCGGTTGCACTGCCACCGATATTATGAAACGTAATAAATGACAATATTTTTTCTGGAAAACAAAATCTTTAAACAATTATAAAACGTAAATGATTATTCAGATAAAAAAAATTAAAAAAACAAAATTGTTTGTAATTTTTTATCTATCATAATATCAAATCAAAAATAGTGGTTCCCGTTTAAAAAAATTATAAATACATATTTTTATCCTTGAAGGGATAAAAAAAATTTATTTAACTTCATATTATTGTAGAGTTTTATAAACTTAATAAATTTTCTTTTTACAAAAATTTTAAATAATCAATAGTTTCTGAGAAAATAAGTGTCTTACCAGATTTCAATCACTCTTTATATATATATATTAAACATTGTTTGAATATACCTTTTACTATCCTTTACACCAACTACCTACACGTTACCAATTGTTAGGGGCTTGTTTAATAGTTGAGGATCTTGGTCAAAACCAAGAATCGGAAGCTACCCAATCTCTGCCCAAATATCGTCCCTATCTCCTTAAATGAGTTTTAATTGCCTGAAGGAGACACAGGCAATCGTGTACCTTAGTTACAGAGGATAGATTATTAAATAAAATTAGACTATTGTTTTATGTCAACGACAAAGTAAAGTTATATTTTAGATGTTTAGTAAATATAAGTTATATGTAATGTACAATACGTCTGACCTGAATCCTAGTACAGTTGGTTAGTAGGTATATCCAAGTGAGACGGAGTTGGTTGGCTATGATGACAATTGGCGATAGATGGGTCGTTGAATAAAATAAGTTAAGTTATAAATAATATAAATAAGACGAAAGTAATAATATTGAAAACTATGTCTATAACGGCCACTCAAACACAACTGCCCTTTGTTAGTTCGACGTCAGTAGTTCCGGGCTACAGACGAGTAGAATTGTCACATCAGCATCTCCCTCTATGCTAATTAATATGTATTACGAATTAAATAAATAGAAATAAAACGTATTTAATATAAGTGGTAAGAACATAGTAATAAATGTTCTTACACAGTAGGTAATTGGCATAGTACTTAACGACTGGTGGGTACACACGCAGAGGATATTTCCAAGATGTAGTTTCCTACCTTACGAACTATTTATTTTATAATTGCTGCGGTCGGTATTTTGCCGCACTCGCGGGATGTTATAATGCTAAGAAAAGAAAACACAACACTTGGATGGTTCGAAAATGAACGTTGGAATATTTTATTGGTGTTTCGAACAAAACTGTATATTGCCCTGGGAGGCGTAATATCAGAAAGACTACAGTACAGGGCCGTCCTTACAATTTGCGAGGCTCGGGGCAAAAATGACCATTTTTTTTTTTTGCTCATCAATAGCCGGAGTACCAGGCTAGTACCTAGGTCCAAATAATTTTATATCAACAAAACATAGATAACAACACTTCATTTTTATCATTATTATAAATAAAAATACAACAAAAATGTTTTTATACAAATTTTAAAAACTTATAAAGAAAAAAATGAAACAACTATTTATTGTGAATTTTAAATTGTAAAATTATTTATGACTCCTTTGTAATAAAATTCATGAGTTACCACAGTGGCTTTTTAATATTAGTCAAAAATTTGCTTTAATTTAATAATATTAAAAGAATAAAAAACAATGTCTTATTTAAACTGACCTTCGTTAAAACAATTTAAATTACATAAAATCAATTTTTCTTGCTTTTATTTCGGCAAACTTTTCAATAATATCGTCATAATCTAAATTTTCACACAGATCACGTTCGATTGAAATAATTGCTAGATCAGAAAGACGATTTTGTGTCATAGATGTCCTTAAATAATTTTTTATGATTTTTAACTTGGAGAAACTTCTCTCTGCGCTTGCTGTGGTTATCGGAAGGGTCAATAATATTCTCAATGCAATAGAAATGTTTGGAAATGAGCCACATGTTGTTTCTATTAAATTAAGACATTCTATAGAAGTCATTTGTTTGTTCAAAATTCTACAAAAAATTTTTAATTCGTCAAAAAGTTCAATACCATTTATATCATTATTTTCACCATCTTTTAATAAAATTTCTAAATCCATACAATGTTTTCTTAACGTTTCTTTGTCAAATGTTTTTAAATTTTCAATATTATATAAAAATCCAAAATATTCTGAATGATGAGATAGTTGTTCAAAACGTTCATTAATTGATACGATTGCTTGATCTATTACGGCTAAAAAATAATCATCGTAAATTTTTGCTCAGCTGAATTTAGACGTGCATCTTGTAGCGTTACGCTACTGCTTTATCATTGGTTGACAGTTGCAAGAAAGTCCGCTGGACAGCGCTGTTCGACAACCCTTATTCAAAAAATGTAAATTAAAGTATTTATCTATTATTTTTTTTATTATATTTATTGTAATGATTATTTTATATACCAGTCTTAGCGAGAACTCGAAAATAGGAAATTAAAATATTCTTTTGTTTTTAGAAGATTTTAAAAATAAATAATATGTGGGCAATTGTTCTACACTACCCCGGTGGTGACGGGTAGCATAAAGTACACCGTCACTACTCGTATTAATTATTCGTTTCTCTAAGAATTCTAATAGTTTTTCCATTAGTTATCTTTTTGTGTCGTTGTACTAGTGATTGCAATATTAATTGCCAACTAGTCTTCATCCATTCATCTTTCCATTGAGTAAGTTTTCTTTATTTTTTCCTGTTATCTTAATTCTTATTACATATATAATTTTCAACGGTGTTTGTAACTATTCGTTACCAACCGTGATCAAAATTATATATTCTTTTCTTTAAAGGCTAGTCATAATCTTCAACGGTGATTATAACCATCGTGTTATCAACCGTGATCAAGATTGCTAGTCTTTCCTAAATATTCCTCTTTAATCCTTTGCAACGGTGCTCGTAATAAACGTTTTACCAACCGTGATCCAAAGGGTTAGATTCCACCACTTATACAATACAGTTCATCTTCAACGGTGATCATAACCTCCGTGTTATCAACCGTGATCGAGATAACTGTCTTTTTGTAAAAATCCCTTTAACCTTTTGCAACGGTGTTCGTAACTACTCGTTACCAACCGTGATCCAGAGGGTTATACTTCTACTTCACCCCAAATTAAATAGTTTCTAAAATAAGACTGATATAGTAGTTAGTTTATTAATATATGTATATATTCATCTTTATATAAAATAAATCAGAACAAATCGATTAGTCGAACAATTTGTGTTGTATTTTCATATTTAAAGAGAACAAACGTAGAAACGTTTCAATATTTGCTTTCATAATTGAACTGCCTAACTTTTTTTTTATTTCTAGATTGTTTAAAAACTGCTTGAATATCAAGGTCTTCACATACATTTTGCGCAATTATTTTTGACGGCTCAAACTCTTTATAACTATAATTAAAAAAAAAAATCTAAAGACCACTTAACAACTGTACAGCATTACTCAATTCCATATTTTTGCTCTGAAGACTCTTACTAACTTTATTTATAGCAGATAACAGTTCGTACCAAATAACAACACTTAAAATAAAGTCATAACAAAATTCATAGTTTGCTAATGACGAGCTTTCACTTTTTATTTTTGGATCCTTTATTGATTCCNAAATAACAACACTTAAAATAAAGTCATAACAAAATTCATAGTTTGCTAATGACGAGCTTTCACTTTTTATTTTAGGATCCTTTATTGATTCACTAATTTCAATTAAAGCGTCATGTACTTGGCATAATTGAAAACGGATAGGCTTAACCGATTCGACCCGAGATTCCCATCTAGTATCTGACATTGGTTTTAGTGTAAAATCTGAAACGTATTTGAGAAGAATAGTTCATCTTTCAGTAGAGGCAGCAAAAATAGAATAAATTCTTTGAATTACCCCAAAAAATGTCATAGCAGCTGGTACGGATGATGCCATATCTCCCAGAAGTAAATTAAGGCTGTGTTTGAGCTATATTATGTGAAATAGATAATTCGTGCTCTTTTAAACGTTCACTTATCTGTTTCCAATTAAAAAATCCTTCTGACGCCAATGATGAAGTTGAGTTTGAAGAAAATAAACGACAATAGAGACAAAAAACTCGATTTAAAGATTTAGAATATAAAAGCCAATTTCTTACCACTTTTTCACCGTTGCCCATTATTCGATTATAATGTGTTATGCTGAATTTTCTACCTTCGTCGTTTGATGGAAAATTATAATTTATAATTTTTGAAGACGAGTTCTCTATTAAATAAACTCGTAATTTATCTGTAATATTTTGCCATTTACCTGGATCGTCATAATCAATTTCATCGTCCTGTACTTTTTTGTTCTCTGTATCTTCTTGGAGTAGTAAATCTTTTGATAGTTGTTGAAGATTTTCATTTACTTTATTCTGTTCAGTCTTGCTACTGGATTGTAATTCTTTTGTTTCAATAGTAATATTGTTTAACAATAATTTTTGTTCGTTATTTTTAATGTTAACTTGACTACTACTTCCGGCAACACAATCATTTTGATCTTTTTTTAAAAAATTACATAAAAAGTTTTTTAAAATTTTATCCTGCTCTTTTTGAACATTTTTAAGTTTTCGCTTTTCAGCACTACTTTTAAATTTTCGATATTTATCACGTAATCGGCCACTCATTTTATTTTGGTACCCGATATTTAAGCTCCAACGACCACGAAAAACGAACACATACTAAAAATTACCGGTACAAACAGTTTGTTATTTCGGTGAATAAATGGTTTTATTATTTTGACTATTTTTCTACGAAATTCGTCGATTAAAATAACATGCCTTGCCTAATCGCGTATCTCGAGTGTATGTGCATATGCGAGTTGAGTGAAAAATGAACATGGGGAAATTAGTAAACCAATTGATCGATATATATAATCCATATAAATTTAATACAATATTTCGACGTTTACCTTTATAATGTTTGAAATTGTATTTCAAATGTATTACTTCTGTTCAAATAGCAGAATTTTTTAAATATACAAATTTAAAAAATATAATTTCAAGAACTAATTAATTTTAAATGAAATTGTCAAGTAATACTCTACTTTTTTTTTTTGAAGTGCGATNTGCTTCAATTTTATTATCTTCTGATAAAGTACTTTGAAATCTAGGATCTAAATAGTTTGCTGTAAAAAAATTAAATACATTTTTTTTTTATACATAAGCAATAATAATACAAAATATGTAAACAAACCTGCCAAAAAAATTGGATTTTCTAGTAAATTTTTTCCTCTTATCTTCATAGAATTTTTTAAAGCATTACTCAAACTAGTATTAATAATTTCTAATTTAGCAATAATGTTCCACCAACAAGCTGCTGCGGTCGGTATTTTGCCGCACTCGCGGGATGTTATAATGCTAAGAAAAGAAAACACAACACTTGGATGGTTCGAAAATGAACGTTGGAATATTTTATTGGTGTTTCGAACAAAACTTTATATTGCCCTGGAAGGCGTAATATCAGAAAGACCACAGTAAAACTAAAGATGACAAATATATATATATATATATATATATATACGAAAGGCACAAAATGTTCGTAGCTGCGTGTTCGGCACTGTGTAGTTGACGGCGAGCGATCAAATCGGTACGGTGTCACGTAGATGGACGTGCGGCACTTGCTGGACTTTGTACCGTGGCGTATCGCACGCGGTGTTGATCAGTCAAACTACCATATGCACGTAGTAGGGCGATGGCTGATAAAGGTGTCACGGGTCGCGGGGCTCCGTGTATAGAGAACGTCGCGGTACCGTGTCAAATAGCCCCCCACCAAGCCGTCGGTCTACTCAGTGAATCGGATACGCATGGCGCGATTACCAATTGGTAACAAATAGCTCATTATACCGCCTATCACGATGAAGGCCGCAAATACTTACGTTATTTGTCCTGACGAGCTGGTTGTTCGCGCGTGATCGCGTTTGGTGGTGATCAATCGCATAACGCGAAAGAGGGTAGGTGGGGGGTGTTGGGTTGGAGTTGCTGTTGTTGTTCATGCTGAAACAGATATAAAAAAAACCCAGCACAGGGGGGTCGCGGCACAGTGGTGACGTGGTATAGTTGGATCAAGTATAATGATATCTGACAGTGATTAAAATCACTATCAAAAATAAACGCTTCGATGCAAATCTTTAGACAGTGTTTAATTTTAAAAAAATTGGTGTTTTATTCCAAAAGCTACTTGATCTGCTGGTTCCTTATTAATATCTCGATTAAGATAAAGTATGTCGAATGAAAAAGGGTTTATTAAAAAATATTATTTGTCATAAAAAAATTGTGCGGATCTTTAAACTTTTCAATAAGTTATAGCATTATAAAGTTAAAAATGTAAAAAATAAAATCGAGAATTTTCACACAAAAATAGCATTCGGTAGCCATTTTCACCACGAAGACAAGTCCAAATTTTTTTTTTCAAATTAAAGTACATTACATTAACTTTAATTTAAGATATATATAAAAGTGTCAGTATTTCCGGAACATTTTCGAAAGTTATGTAGAAAAAGTAAATTTGTTGTGAAAAAGTTGTCATTTTAAATCCCCCCCTGTGGGCAGAAAAAAGGTCAAATTTACAAAAAAAATATAGCAAATGATAAGTAAAGACATCAAGCATCTATATAAAAACAAATTATTTTACAAAAACCGTAATTTNAAATATAATATCAAGAATTTTTTCACAAAAATAGCATATTATTAACTTTGATGTCAACTTTCACCACGAACACAAGTCCAGAGGTCAAATTTTTTTTTTTCAAATTAAAGTATATTACACAAGCTTCAATTTAAGATATATATAAAAGTGTCAGACCTTCCGGAACACTTTCAAAAGTTAAGTTGAAAAAGTTCTACTTTCTATATGCATTTTTTATATTTGAAACCCCTCCATATATAGGGAAATAGTCTGATTTAAAAAAAAAGTATATCCAATGAAAGATGTATATAAATACTACTTCTCATGAAAAAATTGTATTGATCCATACATTTTTTAAAAAGTTATAGCACTTTAAAGTAAAAAAAAAAAAACGGAAAATCGAAAATTTTCACACAAAAATTGCATTCGGTAGCCGTTTTCACCATGAAGACAAGTCCAGAGGTCAAATTTTTTTTTTNAGATGATATCTGACAGTGATTAAAATCACTATCATAAGAAACGCTTCGATGCAAATCTGTAGATAGTGTTTCCTTTAGAGAAATTGGTGAAATATTTTAAAAGCAACATGAACTCTTATTTCTTTAATTATATCCTGATTAGTAGTTGTTTGATTTTAAAATATAATATATGAATAAATACTAATTATAGTTTTTTAATTTAGAATGAAATTGCGAGGCTAGCTATGATGTATGTTTCATAGTGTTGGGCGGTTGATAAGAAAGTAGAGCAGAGAATAAGTGTAACAGAGATGAAAATGCTTAGTTAGATGAGTGGAGTGACTAGAGAAGATAGGATAAGGAACGAGCATATAAGAGGAAGTATAGGTGTTGCGTCAATCGTGGATAAGATGACAGAAAATAGACTTAGATTGTTTAGTCATGTTATGAGGAGAGAAGAATCGGAAGCTGTAAGAACAGTTATAGAAATGAATGTTGAAGGAAGAAGAGTTAGAGGAAGACAAAAAAAAAGATGGAGGGATGCTATTGAATGCGATTTGAAGACAGCTGATGTGAGCGAAGAAGATGTGGGAGATCGTGTCAAGTGGAATCTTAGGATAAGTAGTTCCTTTTACGATGTGAAAAATCATCTTACAGTCGAGGACCTGAAACGGTGTTTGTATGCTGAAGAGGAGACTGCAGTAAGCGCAAAGCTCATGCAACAGCGACTACATATGGCACGATGGTTGTAAACAACATTTATGAGAAGGCCGTGGACCCTTATTGTCCTGTTGTAAAGTACCCAACTTATACAACATACAGAGAAAATGTGTCAATCAGATCATCTCAACACCAAATATACACCATTAAGACTATGGAAATAACAACCGTTTGGATAATAAGCGGTTTATATCAGAAGACCGTATTACTACCTACGCTTACCTTCTTCAGTATTCAATCCTGAGATTGGTTTGTAGCAATTCTCCACTCTTCCCTGTTACTTGCTTTCCTCTTTGTCTCTTCATAAGAAGTACATCCTTGGTCCTCTATTATTTGTTGCATATATTCCATTCGTGGTCTTCCCCTAGCATTTTTTCCTTCCACGCAGCCTTCTATAATCAATCCTAGCAACCCACCATGTCTCAATACATGTCCAATCCATTCATTTCTCCTTTTCTTGATACTGCTCCATAAAGTTCTTCTCTCGGACATTCTTTCTAATACTTCCTCGTTTGTTACCATGCCCGTCCAACTTATTTTGAGCATTCTTCTGAAACACCACATCTCGAAAGCTTCTATTCTTCTTCGCTCTTCTTTGGCAATCGTCCACGTCTCACTGCCATACAGCATTATACTCCATACGTATGTCTTCAGGAGATATATTCTGGTACGTATGCTAATATTTTTTGAAGTAAAAAGTCCTCTCTTTTTGTTAAATGCTATCTTAGCTTGGCATATTCGCTTTACTATTTCTTTTTTACTTCTGCCATCCTTACTTACTATGCTTCCCAAGTATGCGAACTCTTCTACTTGCTTTATTTCTTGGTTATTTTGCAGATGTATTCTTGTCGTAATATTATTGCTCCTGCTGCATACGAGAACTTTGGTCTTTTTCGTATTTATTTTCATGCTCAGTTCATTGAGCAGAGTTTCTTCCATACACCTTAGCATCCTTTGCAAATCTTCTTCATTTTCAGCTATGACTGCTATATCGTCTGCGAACCGTAGCATATCGATTTTCCTGCCATTTATCTTTATACCCAAATGTATTTTCTCTCTTATTATGTTAATTGCCTCCTGGATGTATGCATTGAATATGCTAGGTGAGAGAGTACAACCCTGCCTTACTCCTTTTCTTATGCGTGCTTCTTCCTCAGTTTCGCCAAATCGTATAACAGCTGTTTCCTTCTGGTATAGATTAAAGAGTAGTCTCCTTTCAGTGTATTCTATACCTGTTTTTTTAAGCATCTTGAACATTATTGCCCAGTTGACATTGTCGAACGCTTTTTCTATATCCACAAAAGCTATGTATGTAGGCTTATCTTTTCTAATTCTTTTCTCGATAATTATTCTTAAAGCCAGTATTGCTTCCCTTGTACCCATGTTTTTTCTGAATCCAAACTGGTCTTCTGACAATATGGCTTCGATCTTATATTCCATTCTTCTTGACATAATTATTGTCAGTATTTTTGACACATGTGTCAGCAAGCTAATTGTACGGTACTGATCACATTTGTTTGCGGTTGCTTTTTTCGGAATAGGAATAATCTTACACTTAGTAAAGTCTACAGGAAGTTTTCCTGAGTTAAATATCTCCTTTATGAGTTTAAAAAGCTCACTGCGCATGTTTTCGCCAGATTCTTTCCAAAGTTCTGCTTGGATTTCGTCAATTCCTGCAGCCTTCTTCTTTTTTAGATCTCTAAGTGCTTTATCAAATTCTTCTCTCAGTACACTATAATTTGAGTTATTATCCATTACTTCTTCATGCTCTATTTCTTGTCCCGTGAGTTCTGGTCCCTCATATAGCTGTTCTAGATACTTCTTCCATATGTTACCTTTATGTTTGTCCTCGTAAATAATTACTCCGTTGTTATCCTCTATTGCCCCCCTTTTTGGTTTATAATCGGTAAAAAAATTTTTAACTGATTTATACGCTGCATCTCTGCTACCATTCCTCATTTGTATCTCTATTTCTTTGCACTTTTCCTCTAAAAATATTTCCTTTGCTTCTTTTGACTTTCGTATTACACGATTTCTTAGTTCTCTGTATTTCCGCTGACTTTCAAGAGTAGTTCCATTCTTAAGCTTTCTTCTTTCTTCTATCATACTTGCTATCTCTGTTGTTATCCATTCTTTCCTAGGTACTGTCTTTTTATTTTCTTTCAGAGTTTTTGATGCTGCTTCTGTCACTGTGCTCTTTATAATACCCCACCTATAGTTTATATCGGTTCTCTCATTTATATTTATATTGTTCGTAAGTTCTTTAAACTTATCATTTGCCTTTTCTTCTTTTAATTTATTTATTTGCCATCGATCATTTTTTCTTGTTGATACTATTTTCTTGAGCTTTAGGTTACTTTTCATCATTAATAAGTTATGGTCACTATCTATGTCTGCTCCTGGGTAGCTTCTGCAGTCTTTTACTTGGTTTCTAAATCTCTCCTTGACCATAATATAATCTATTTGATATCTACCTATGTCTCCCGGCATTTTCCATGTATATCTTCTTCTTGGATGGTGATTGAAGTAGGTATTTGTTATTAATAATTTGTGTTTTGAACAGAAATCTATTAATCTGTCTCCTCTTTCATTTCGGTTTCCTAGACCATAATTTCCTATTATGTGCCCTAGGCTTTCTTTTCCTACTACAGCGTTCCAATCACCCATAATGATAAGATTTTCATCTCCTTTGACTTTTTCAATGACTTTTTCTATTCCTTCGTAGACTTCTTCCATTTCCTTCTCACTGCTATTAGAAGTAGGCATGTAAACTTGGACTATGATTGTATCCTTAGGTTTCGTTTCGATTTTGACTAATATTATTCTTTCATTGTACTGTACAAATCCTTTAACTTTTATCCCAATAGCCTTACTCATTATTATGCCTACCCCTCCAATTCCTGGGTTATTTTCCGCTGTTCCTGTGTGTATCAACCTATATTCCCCACTCCATAGATCTCCAGCTCTTGGCCATCTCATTTCTGATAGGCCAAGGATATCAATCTTCATTCTTTCCATTTCTATTTTCAAGTTTTCTAGTTTTCCGCATTGCAACATAGTTCTAACGTTCCAAGTAGCTATTCTTCTCCAATTCTTAACATTTCCTTCTTCTCCAGTAGTCCCCACCCGGAGATCCGATCGGGGGACTATTTTACCTCCGGAATATTTCACTTTAGAAGATTTCATGTTATTGCTATTTCTTGGGATGATTTATACGGTGGTCTCCCCTTGCCTTCCGTATCGCAGTGCAGCCACCAGTTATACAGTTCCCGTATCTGTTGGCTGCTGTTTGGTGTGTAGCTGTTTCTACCATTCTAGGTTACCTGCACCTACACCCAATATTGTAGTAGCTGCTGCCCTACTACAAGTCCCTTTCAGTCGCTTTTTACGACAGGCAGGAACAACCGATGGTCTATTCTAACCCCGACCAACAGGGGGACCTACGCTTACAATAATTATAAACTTGAGTTTTTTTTTTCCAGTCTTCCATCCTTAGATTGGTTTGCTGCAGTTCTCCATGCTTCCCTATCATTACTCAATTCCTTTAGTTCTTTATGACTATTCTTCCCCGTGTCACTTATTATTTGTTTCATATACTCCATCTTTGGTCTTCCTCTTCCTATATGGCCTTCAACGTGGCTTTCTATGACGGTTTTTGTTATACTCTCATGGCGTAGTAGATGTCCTATCATTTTAGCTCTTCTAACTTTTATGGTATGCCATAGTATTTTCTTTTCTTTTATTCTATTTAATACTGCTTCATTCGTTATTCTATCAATCCATTTAATTATTAACATTTTACGATAACACCACAATTCGAAGGCCTCTAGTTTTCTTTTCTCTATTGCACTGATTGTCCAGGTTTCACAGCCTAATAAGGCAATACTCCATATATATATTTTTAAGAACCTTTTCCTTACCTCTAAATCCATACTATTGGTGGTTAGTAGGTGTTTTTTATTCTGGAAAGCCCTCTTCGCTTGCGCTATTCTACTTAGAATTTCATCTTTACAACGGCCATCTTCCGTTATTTTACTTCCTAAGTAGTTAAAGTGTTGGACTTGTTCTATGCGTGCGTTATCTATGTATATATTAAGTTGAGAAGGGTTTGTCTTGCTACACGCCATACCCTTTGTCTTTTTTTTATTTAATCGCATTCCATATTTGTCCCATAATATTTTATTGATCTTAGTTAAAATATTTTGCAGGTCATTTTCTGTTTCTGCGCAGAAAGCGATGTCATCAGCAAATCTCAGAGCGTTAATTGTTTCTCCCCTATTCTAACTCCTTGCTTTACTTCTATTCTTAGTTCTTTCATTACTTCTTCAATGTATAGATTAAACAGCATGGGTGATAGGTTACACCCCTTNATTACTTCTTCAATATATAGATTAAACAGCATGGGTGATAGGTTACAGCCCTGTCGTACACCCTTTTTAATTTTTGCTATTTCTTCTTTTCCATCTATACGTATTAATAAAGTTTGATTTTTGTATAAATTATATATGCATCTTCTGTCGTAATACTTAATTCCAATTGATTTTAGAATATCGAATAATATACTCCACTTTACATTATCAAACGCCTTCTCTAAATCGACAAAGGCTATAAATGTATCTTTGTTTCTTCTAATTTGTTTTTCAATTAGTATTCTCAGTGTTAAAATTGCCTCCCTTGTTCCTATGTTTTTTCTGAATCCGAATTGATCTTTACCCAGATTTTCTTCTATCTTTTTATCTATCCTGTTTTTGATTATTCTGGTGATAATATTGGCGGCATGTGTGATGAGGTTTAATGTTTTGTACTCTTCACATTTTTGCGTTCCTTTCTTTTTTGGAATCAGTACCACAATACCCTTCTCGAAATCACTAATGGCTCTTCCCTTTAAATATATTTCATTTGTAGGCATTAACAAAGATGTTAAATAACATGTCACAATGAATACTTTTATATATGTTTATATGTTTTATTTTAGATGTACTGCAGTACGATAACACTCCGTGTATTTTTTTTATTCTCACGCTGTTCGTCAATCCAGTGACACTTTTTATTTGTACTCTTTTTTTATGTTGTATAAAATCATTTTTCATTATTAAAAATTATTAATTATTATAAATTTTAATTGTAGTATTTTGTAATAAATATAAACATCAAAACACTACACATTGCATATTTTGTACAGTTCTTTTTTAACAGCTACGTCTGTGTATTTAAGTAACTCTGCTGGAATTCATCTACACCATACGCATTATTGTTTTTAAGGAAGTCCATCGCATGATCAAATTCGGCTTGTAAGATATAATCACCTTTATCATCCTCATCTACATTATCTTCTTCCTCGAATATCATAGTTGAATTATCCTCATATAATTCTTCCAGATATTCTTTCCATCTTTTAGTCTTTTTATCAGCTTTTAGTAATAATTCGCCGTTTTTGTATATTAGGGTACCTGCGTTTTGTTTCCTTTCTTGAAAAAGCTTTTTGGTTTCTGAAAACGCCAGGTTACTTCTTCCTTTTTTTAAAAATTCTTCTATTCCCTTACATTGCTCATCTAGCCATTTTTTTATCTTCCTTTGCACTTCATTTCGTATTCTTTTGTATTGTTGTTGTTCTTGAGTGTTAATTTGATTTTTATACCTTCTTCTTTCCTTTATTAGCTTAACTATTTCGTCTGTCATCCAAGGTTTTCTCGGCTCTTTTTTTTGGGTTCCTAATACTTCCTCTGTCTGGATCTTTAGAATTTTCTTAATATTTTCCCATTTATATTCCTCCGACTGACAATTATCAATTTGTATGTTGTTTAATGCTTTCTTACATTTCTCTTTAAATTCTATTCTCTTCTCATCTTTTTTAAGCATTTCTAAATTCCATTTTTTTGTGAATCCACTTTTCTTAATATTTTTGTACTTTAGATTTGTTTCCATAATAATTAGATTGTGATCGCTGTCAATATCAGCATCAGGATAAGTTTTGCATTGTTTAATTTGATTTTTAAAGCGTTGTTTAGTAATAATATAATCGATTTGATATCTCACTGTATCTCCCGGCCTCTTCCTGGTATATAATCTTCTTTTATGGTGTTGGAAAAAAGTGTTTGCAATTGTCAATTTGTGTTGTGTACAGAAATGTATTAGTCGTTCCCCTATTTCATTTCTGGTTCCCAAGCCATAACTACCCGTTATGTTACTTTCTTTCCCTTCGCCTACTGCTGCATTCCAGTCGCCCAGGATTATAACATTCTCCACTGCTTTAGTCATCGTCATTATTCCATCTATTTTATCATAAGTTTCATCAACTTCTTCGTCATTGTGTGATGATATTGGCATTTATATTTGGATAATTGTTGTAATAGCAGGTTTGGTATTAATTTTAACCATGATGATCCTATCTGTACATTGATAGTAGCTGATCACACTTTTTCCACATTGTTTATTCATGATGATGCCTACCCCAGTATGTCCATTTTCCGAGCCTGTATGAATGAATCTGTACTCATCACTCCAAAAATCACCGGGATCTGGCCATCTTACTTCACTTATCCCTATAATATCAATATTTAGTCTTCTCATTTCTAGTTTTAAATTTTCAAACTTTCCGCTTCTTCTCAAGGATCTTACATTCCATGTGCCTACTCTTTTATAGTTTTGTTTTGTTTTACTCAAGGCAGTCTCCACCAGGACATCCGAACGGGAGACTAGTTTACGTCCGGAATCTTTTACAATGAGTTCACAATCTATAACTGCAGATACTAGGGATAATAAGGTGATGGTTTCCCGTTTCCTTCCACCTCGCAGTTTTGTTACCCTTTAGATGACTGCCATCTTCACTTACAAATGTTTGGTATGTAGCTGTACCGATCTCCTTGATCTCCACCTACATCCAATACTGGGAAAGCTGCTGCCCTTCCCCAGACCCTTTTGGTCGCCTCTTACGACAAGCAGGGATTGCTCTGGGCCAATTCTATCCCGGGACCCAGACGGGATATAAACTTGAGTACGTATACCATAATTATTAAATATATATTAAATAGTATTATTTTTTAGGAATGAAGACAACATTGAAACTCAAGATTTGTAGTTGCAACTTATAAACTAATGTAAAAATAATAAACAGATTACAAAAATGTAATGTATTAGTATTTTTATTTTTTTATTTTTTTTTATTTTAATTATTTAACGCCAAACGGCAATTTACAGGAATAATATTATGGTAACCTAAATATATAATATAATATAACAAAAAGAAGAAAAAAAAAAATAATGTACATGCATATATGTAAAACATAGAGTAAGAAACTATGACAACAAAATAATGATGACAATAAATTAAGATTTATAAGATAAATATAATATATAATTAATATAAGACAGTTAAATTTTTTTAAAAGTAAATGTAACCAAAAAACTAAGTATTATTGAGAAAGCGTAGCATTCTGTGTATTGGATTATTATTATTATAGGAGGTATGATGAGGGGGAACATGAAAGGGAAAGTCATTTCTAGTAGGATAGGATGGAACACGAAAGGATATAGAAGACAAAAGGTCTGGTGCATCAATTAGACCATTAAGGAGAGCATCGATAAATGATCGGTCTGCATCAAATCGCCTGGAACTAAGAGTAGGGATATTAAGTGTGGAACGAATAATGGAATAATCATGAGGGGAGTGGGTAATTTTGAGTAAATAAGCGGCGTAAGATACAAAACGATTCTGTACTCTTTCAATACGGAGTTGATCTTTAGCTAAATAAGGATGCCAGACAACCACTCCGTATTCTAAATTAGAGCGAACGAGTGAAAAATAGAGGGAACGTAAACAATGTGGAGAAGTAAAGAGGTTAGTATGTTGTTTTAAAAATCCTAAAACTTTTAAGGCTTTGCCTACTATAAAGTTAATATGAACGTCAAAAGATAGCGAAGGAGTCGGGTGTACTATCTAGTGAGTAGGAGTATAAAATAGGAGCGCGCTTCCTGGTAAATGTCATAATATAACATTTACTTATATTAAGTGAGAGGCTAACCCGATTAATCCAGCAAACAAAAGAATTAAGATCTGCTTGCAATAACAAACAATCAAAGGGAGAAGCTACTTTTGTAAAAATTTTCATGTCATCTGCAAATAAGAGGACATGGGAATTAGAAAGGTAATTATTAATAGAGTTTACATAAATAATAAACAACAGAGGACTGAGGTGTCCACCTTGGGGGACGCCCGAAGGAACTTCAATAATGTTGGACCTAACACCATTGACAAAATCATATTGTTTTCTTGATGCAAGGTAGGACTCTAACCAGGAAAGTAAGGAGTCACCATTACCAAGAATTTTAAGCTCAGATACAAGTAGACGATGGTCAATTGTATCAAAAGCTTTTTTGAAGTCCGTAAAGACAGCATCAACTTGATAATCTTTTTCGAAGCTGTTTAAAATAAAAGTTGTAAAGGACAAATTGCAGGATACGGTAGATTTACCTGGAGAGAAGCCATGTTGTTTATCAATGATGATATGGTTAAGACTTCGCTTTATACTGGAATAGACCAGAGATTCAAATAATTTGGCAATATGAGGCAGGATGGAAATTGGCCGGTAATTAGAGACAAGACACGGATCACCGGATTTCAATATAGGGTTGATGGAACAAGTCTTCCATACTCCAGGAAAAATACCTTCATCTAAAGAACGCCTGAAAAGCAAAAATATAGGGTATACTAGAGAAAGACGGCAGTTATATAATAATTGTGCTGAGTTACCGTCAGGACCATTAGAGACATTGTTTTTTAGAGAACCCAACAGAGTTTGGATATCATCGATAGAAAAAAGACAATTTGCAGGTAGATTATAAGGATAGACGGGATAAATAGTCGGATCAGAAATAGAAGAAAGAGAGGTTTTATAAACAGAAGAAAAGTGGTTCGAAAATAGATTAGCGGATTCAGTAGGTGAGGAAGAGGTTACACCATTGTGATGCACAGATGAAGGAATGGAAGAGTGTTTATTAAGATCTTTGGTAAATTTCCAAAATTTAGAAGGATTAAGAGCAAGTATTTTTTGAGTGTAATTGATGTAGGACTGGTAATTTAGTTTGGAAATACGCTTGCATTTAGCTCTAAACTCTGAAAAAATTAAATAATCATTGGGATTTTTTGTTCGCTTAAAATTAAAATGAGCTTGTTTTTTTTTGAAAAATAAGTCTTTTTAGAGCGGGTGTTACCCAACGAGGGAACTTGGGAGTTTTAAAGATTTTATTTGGAACAAAAAGATTAATGGAATTTAAGATTGCATCATTAAAAACAGAGGCAGCATCATTGATTGAGTAAAGATGGAGGTAGCCTCCCAGTTGAAGGAATTAAAGAATTGAGATATACTAGTATAATCGGCGCATTTAAAATCTTTGTAAGTGTGTGTATTATCAGTGTAGGATGTTGTTTGAAAAGGAAAATTAATATCTAAAGGAGGGTGGTAGGGATCTGGAGATACGAGTGTCTCTGAAGATAAGTTTACTGTGACATTATTAGAATTGGAAAATATAAGGTCAAGAATTGTACCATGATTATTAGGATGGGAGTTAAGCTGGAAAAAGTTGAAATAAGAGAAAGAATCTATTAGAGAGGAAGAAATTGAACTATAACTGCCAGAGGCAGAAAGTCCTAAACTATCGGAAGACCAAGTAACATTAGGTATGTTATAATCTCCACACAAAAAAACAAACTGTGGCTTATAATTTAAGAGAATGGTTTCAATTGAAAGAATATGTGCATCAATAACTGAAGAAGAAGACTGCGGAGGTAAATACACAGCTCCAATTAATAAGGAAGTAGAATTAATGTACAATAGGACAAATGATTGTTCAACATTAATGATATCTAAGGATAAAGGAAGTGATTTAAATGTGGACTTAAAAGCAATGAGTACTCCATCACCACGGGAGTGAGAGCTATTGTTAGAATTTCGGTCAAACCTCACTATATTGTAACCAGTAAAATCAAGTTCGCTACTAGAGATATCAGGGGACAACCAAGTTTCTGTTAGGACTAAAATGTCATACATGTGAAAGAGAGGAATAGAGGTTTTAAGATTTATAAGTTTAGTTTTTAGGCCACGTACATTTTGGTAAAAAATATTTCAATTGCTCTTATGTATTTTATGGTATCCAAAATTAACATTTTCGGATTTGTTCATTTTATTTATAAATTTATTGAATTCCAAAAAAAACATATCAAAAGAAGACGTAGCGGCATGACAATTGCGACAGCATTTAATCAATAACCTATCTGTCGATGAATGGTTAACACAGCATCCAAGTAGTAAGGTAGCATCATCAACAGATGACTGAATAGTTGACGAGATAAAAGAATAATTATAACACAAACGATGAAGACAACAATTTAGTTTTTTGGTTGGACCAGTGAGGTACTACCAAAATGAGCTGACCTAGAAGCTATTACAATTGAAGGAAAGCCATCTTTATACTTAATCATGATGTTGGTCTCACCATTTTTTTTACGACTATCAAATTCATTATATATCCGACGAATAGATTCACGTTCTCTAGATGTTCGATCACGAATAACAGATATTGTGTTCATTGAATTATTTGCGATATGACTGCGTTTATATACGTAGAAGTCGGATATTAGTTTAATTGNAAAATGAGCTGACCTAGAAGCTATTACAATTGAAGGAAAGCCATCTTTATACTTAATCATGATGTTGGTCTCACCATTTTTTTACGACTATCAAATTCATTATATATCCGACGAATAGATTCACGTTCTCTAGATGTTCGATCACGAGTAACAGATATTGTGTTCATTGAATTATTTGCGATATGACTGCGTTTATATACGTAGAAGTCGGATATTAGTTTAATTCCTATTTCTTTAGATGATAAAAATACCTTAAGTGGGCGAGCTCCCCTATCGTTAGGCCTGCCAAGTCTAATTGATTTTAAACTTGAGGAGTTTGCTGGAAGAAAGGGTTGAAGAATTTCAGACAGACGCAAAGAGTCACTCGATATCCGATCAGATGATGAGCTAGAGGGAGATTCAGGTATTCCTCTAACAATAATATTACGAGTACATTTTTCCCTTTCCGAGATTTCTTGCAGTATTACTTGGACACTATCATCATTAGAATGAGGACTACTTTTGTACGTTTTNTCCTCTAACAATAATATTACGAGAACATTTTTCCCTTTCCGAGATTTCTTGCAGTATTACTTGGACACTATCATCATTAGAATAAGGACTACTTTTGTACGTTTCAATGGAATTTACACGTTTTGTCAGGTCAGCAACATTATTTTTGAGAACAGTATTCTCTGATTTGAGGTCAGCAACTTGTAAAGTTAAGACCTCTAAGGCAGCCTTAAGCTTAGCAAATTTATTACTTTGANCTGATTTGAGGTCAGCAACTTGTAAAGTTAAGACCTCTAAGGCAGCCTTAAGCTCAGCAAATTTATTACTTTGGGACTGACACGGTAGGTTACATTGAGACAGAGTCTCTTCCTGAGTTTTACGCAGCTCATTCATTGTTTTATGAAAATCTTCCAAAGACAGGGTAGTGGAAGAAGATGAAAGTATTTTAGACGATTTGGCAGACGAATTAGAGGCAGAGCGGGTTAAAATTTGTGAAGTTTTAGGTGAATTAGAGGTCATCTTTACTGGAAGTATATTGGCGTAAGAAGATCCTGATGTTAGTGAAATGCAACCTAAACTACAGCGATGTGTTTTAAAGTAAAGAGTTTGAGTGTGTCAATTGGTGGACCACCGTTAAAGTCACCAAGATAACAGCTGATAGGAAAAGTGAAATGGATGAGCCACGAGAGAGTTCTTGATAACAATAATAAGTACTTACAATTTGTGTAATATAAATTTTGGTAATTATGAACTAATACGCAAAAAATTGAACTGAATTGACTCACAATGTTAGAGCAAAAGACCGTGAATACATCTGCGAGTTAATAAATTAAAAAGTACACTTAATTATTTTATTTAATTCAAAAAATGCTAAGAAAAATTTACCGATCTTGTTATCACTTTTTTTTTAGTATAATGATTATAAAAAATGTATTGTTGATATTATATTAAATAAAAAAAAAATTATCTATAAATATATTTATATTATTCATTAAACGAAAATAAATAATCAAACAACATTATTACATAGTAGTTATCATCGTTATTGTCGACAGGTCTGACAAAACGCCGTATTATATTTTGTACATCATTAAAATTTAGCCAAATATGTAATCGTTTGAGACAGTATGCACACCTTTTGAAGTCACATACTTCAAGCAGAGTACTTTCATGCCTGAATACCTCTTTATGTAATGTGACGGTTTCAATAGGATGATCCTTTACCTCTATCATTTCTGCACATTGACTATTAGTTGTTTTACACGCAAAAAAGTGAGTTGACACAGCTCTTCCGTCCATTACCATTCGAATATTAACCTTTTTGTAGTTAGCCCATACATAATTTCTTCTCCATTTATTCATTGCGAGTGTAACCTCTTCATAAGTGTAACAGAAAAAATTTGCACGGACCAAGTCGCCCAGACGGTTCGGTTCTGTGAGCCGACCCAACAAATTTGATAAAGGTCTAAACAAATGACGTCTAACAAATCTGTCAGAATCGTTGTTCTGATGCATTTCTAATACTTCCAACTCCCATGATTGCAGCGAAAATGAATCTCTAAATGGAATCATTGATGATCAATTGCTTGGTAAGAGTTCTAGATCATGATCAGAATAGGTTCGTTCAGCATCTGGTGATAAATCATCATCTAAAAATAAAAAAACAATTTCTTCTTCTTCCAATGGATCATAGTAATACCCGTCATCATGAACTCGCGGTTGTATCTGTACGAATTTTTCAATAAATAACTCCCGTTAGTCTGCTTCAGCAACAACACATTTACAAACAAAAATCGACTTGATTTGCATAATATTTGAAGTCTTTCAATGTATAGGCACCATTAATACAATTGAAAATATTAAATTTTTAGAGCAGAGTATAGGGTATGTATATGAAAAACTATCGTTAATGACTTGTAATTACTATACCTGTGTATAGTTTTATACCTCTATACGTAAAGTGGTACTAATATTCTTTACTATATCCTTTTTTTTCAGCACAATAATAATGCTCAAATTAATTATATATGAATTTTTAGGCTAATTAACAACAAACATGTTATATGTTATTTATAAGTTTTATTTTTAAATATATCATACAATTTTATTACATTATTTAATTAGTGTGTAATTTAACAATATTTTAAGTACTAAGAATTATTAATATACCAATTTCTTAACATAAACATTTTATAAAAACTACAATAAGTTGGATTTAAATTCATATGAAATAAACATGAAGGATAAAAACTATTTGTTGATAGTTATGTTATACGAGGGCACCCAATATCTTCCATGTTAATGACATTTACGTGTGGCATATACTGTTGTAAAATGTCACTTTTTTGTAACTCTTTTACAAATATGTCTGTAAATTTTAATGAGTTTAAAATTCTCAGTAGTTCTTCAATTTCTACGTCTCCGTACTGAGGTTGCATTGAATGTCTATGCTTTTTCAACCACGCGTTAACATTTCGACTTTTTTCATCTGTTGGAGTTGCATGTTTAAATATCCAGTGTTGCCTGTGGCGTACACAGAAATTAAATTTGGGGGGAGGATTCACGCAAGGAAAGAAAATTAAAACGATAAACTATATTTTTGACAAAACAATATACTATAAACTTAATTCTACTCAAATTTCCAGTCGTCTTGGCTTTTCTGACAACTTATCTAAAATAAACTCTATTGAAGGCGTTAATCCCCGGTAGATATTTAAAAGAGCCAAATCATTTAGGCGATCCTGAGACATTGAATTTCGTAAGTAATTCTCCAATCGCTTTAGAGTTGAAAAATTTCGCTCATTTTCTGTCGTGGATACTGGTAGCACGAACAACATGTGAAGCAAAATGTTGATGTTGGGTGTTATCTTTTCATCACATATTTTTAGTGTATCAAGTACTTCACTTGGTAGCTTCTCAATTTTTTTTAACATTGAATACCAAATGGTAGTTCAGTTTTGAGCTCATCCCAACAGCCATTTAAATCTTTATTGTATACTGTCATAAGGTTTCTGAATTGCTTACAAACATCTTCTGTTAAGTTTTCTACATTTTTAGGGAGAAGGCATTGAAATGAGCTTAAAATTTCTCCATGATTCTCAAATCTTTGCTTTAGATTACTTATGAAATTATCTAAATATGGTATGTAGATTGATATCCTATAGTAATTTTCAGCCGAAGAAGAACTTACGTTTGACTGATGTGTTTGACATTTCACAATACGAGGTGGTTCCAGCAAGAAGTTGAATATTTCTTTGGCTTTTCCAATAGAGCTCTGAATTCCTCGTCATAATTATTTCTCAGCAGCTGAGAAATTGTTGCTTCTGTCAATTAAACAGCTTGCTTTAAATCTATATTTCTTTGTTGTAAATATCTGCATTAAACTAAACTGATACTGAACACTTGATTCACTACCAGAAGAGATATTATAAACTGATCTTTTTTTATAGCACACGCTAACAGATTAGCAGATTGTGATGATTCCTTATCTGCTCCGGTTGAGATTTCTTCTAGAGCCTGGATAATGAAATTGTATAATTCCAGAAATAGTGATACAGAATTGTATCTTTCAACTCATCTTGTAGCACACAAGCGCTTTAATTTTTGATGATTGAGTCCATCTTCAGCTTCACCTATAATATTTTTCAAAACTAATTGTCGTTTGGGTGTATTAAAGAATTCATAACGTTTTGCAATAGTTCCTAGGTAGTTTCTGATGAAGAATAAACCACATGAATTGAACACAGTCAAATTCAAAGAATGTGCAGCACAGTGAACATATATAGCTGTGAGATATAGTTCGAATGTGTGCCTGAACACCATTAAATTTACCAGACATTGCTGCGGCTCCATCGCATCCTTCAAGTTTAATCCTAATGAATTTAAGAAATTTTAAATTGCAGTTACTAT